GCTACCCGGAATCGAACCCGGGACCTTTGAATGAGAGGCCAACACCTTAACCTCTAGGCCACGAGAGCCCCCGATAGAGGTTTGACAAGAAAGAAGGAGCAGATTAAACCAGAACAACCGCCCCCCCCCCTAACCACCTGCAGAGTCGGTGTTGGTAGTAGGTCAATCAAGTGCCGAATGGAGGGCTAAAGTTTACTTTTACGACGAAAAATAGGTGTGGAGATACATTTGTGTACTATACTTTAAAAGAGAGTGCGAATTCAGTTAGCAAACCCTGGGATGAATTTAAAGAAAGAAAGAAAAAAAAAGGACAGCCTAAAGAAACCCGATGAAACCACACATTATGGAGTGCAGTGATACGGGTAAAATATCTGAAACCCTCCACATCCCCCCCCAAAAAAACAACAACAACAACCCAACAAAAAACAACAGCAACCCACACTTACCTCCTCCTAAGCTTAACTATAATTTTACTAAAAGTATGGACAACCATTTTTGCATTGTCGATAGTATTGTATACATATTTATGAAATTTATACGTTTTTTAACAAGACATTGGGGGCTCTCTCGCCTCTCATTCAATAAGTCCAGGATTCGAATCCGGATGGTGGCGGAGTTTTTTTTTCTAAAAAATTTTCTCCTTCCGCATCCTTTCCTGTTTTCTAACAATATTCTGTCGTCTGCTTTCGTCTTCACTTTCTGCTCCCCATCCACTCACCTCCTGTGCCTCCTCCTCTAGGCTCCTGACTCTTTCTGCAGTCTTTCTACTGCTTCTCATTGGCACCTTCTTACTTCTGTCTTTAAGCCACACCCCTGATCTTATGGCAGGTAAGATCTACACGTAGCCTTCTCGGACAAGGGCAAACAATCCCGGAGGTACTGTGTGCAAGTTGCGCACGTTAAAGATCACTTGGTGGTCCAAAATCGATAAGAGTAGGCTTCGGACATCCCCCGGGCAAAATTCAAAATTTCCTACCAACTGAAAAATGTTTGGCGTGTTCCACGCGCTCATATGACCCTAGGCAGTTGCAAGCACCACACAAAAACAAACCCCAATCAAAACCCAGCCAATTTTTTTAAAAGAACATAAAAATTTCGTATCGTCTTCCGGGCGACGATGTCGACAAGCGTTTATTTCGTACTTCTAACACCTTTGATATGTTCATAATTATGCCTTTACACTTACAGCATTAATTTCTAATGTGTACATTCGACACATTTTACAAGAACGTGCTGAACGGTAAGTATGTGTTGCATGCCACGAACAATAGGAGAGAATGTATCTCCTTCTTCTGTCAGGATGATGCATCCAGCCCAAATTGATTGCCTCTGACAGACATATTTAAAGAAGCTCGACCCCTAATTAATGATCTAAATCGCGTCGATGGAGGCGTAAAAAATACAATAATTCTATCCCAAGCTACCTTCTTTTCGCTGTTACGTACCAGAGTCTGCGGTTTTGTGGTTAGGC